TTTTTAGCTTTCAAATTAACTAATTTTTATCTTGTTACGTGTATTATTTATAATACAATAATAATTTTTTTCATTACAGTTTTTTTTTGTTACAGACTGTACGTACATGTAAATGCTTTTTACATACGTAAATTGAAGTTCTATTATAAGAATAGAGTCGTTATCATAATTATTTGCACTTCCTGAGATATGCATACCGATACCAGTAATTCGTATCAGATCACGTGTTTTCGTCAAATTTAACTTGCTAACGTTTTTTCGGGGTACTGTTCGTATAACTAAAAAAAAATACGGAAATAAAGACACGTAAACGGCCACTTTTACGTGTGTTTACAGACATATAAATACGTAATTGAGTATCGGTATGTAAACAATCTTTTACATACGCATTAGTATGTCTGTAAAACACACGCAAAAAGTGGCCGTTTACGTGTCTTTTATAGACATATCAGATTCGTATATTTCCATACTTTTTACAGACATATTACGCGCAAATTTTCTAATAGGGTGTATATCAATACAAATGCCAAGTGATATTAGAAAGGGAGTTTGGTCTATTATAAAAAGAAACATTACGACTAGAATTAAGATAAGGGATTCAACTATTACCAGGCCCACAACACCACCAAAACTGCTAATCGAACGAAAGATTTTTTTATATATTAGAAAATTTCAATTTTTTCTATTATAAAATTTGGATATGCCACAATCTTATCGTTATGGGTATATTCTATGTAGATCAAATCTATTTGAGATACAATAATAAATTTTGTTAATACAGATTTTTTATTATATGTAAATTTTTATTATTATTATTAAAATGTAAAAATACTCAACGTACATTAAAATTATATCTCTTATAATATATTTTGGTACTATTTTGATAATATATCTCTTTTTCTTGAAAAGTTATAAGCTTTTAAATTTTGTATAATATTTTTATTATTTATATTGTATTTTCTAAAAAAAATTTTTATTATTATAGAAATGTAAAAATACTCAACGTACATTAAAATTATATATATAATATACTTTGGTACTATTTTGAAAATGATATCTCTTGAAAAGATTTAAGCTTTTAAAATCTGTACTAACAAAATTTATTATTGTATCTCACATAGATTTGATCTACATGTACATAAGAATATCTCACATCCCAGTAACTCATGTGTATCTCGGACGATTATATTTGTTCAAAGAACTACACTTAAATATACCAATCACGTGAATCGTCACATTTTTGATTCAGAATAATCACGTGAGTAACATATGACACGTGTTATTTGCTAAGTGGTTTATTGCAATAACCAATAAAATAACAAAACGTTACTCATAATTGATGACTTAATGATCAAAAATCACGTTATTTGTTCCACTGGTCATCGATCATATAACGATAAAAATAGTGAGTTTTTAAATGAATACTAGTCAAAAATGAGTTATTATTTTTTAAAAAAGAGGGTCACTATTTTGTAGCTAGACCTATTTACTACAAAATAGTGGTCTTCTTTTTTTTTATATTAAAATCCTTTGCCTTTTAAAGATAATTAAATTTTATTGGCGTCTTTAATCATTTTAAATAAATACAATTATATAATTGGTTTTCAATTTGATACTGCTATTTGATTGATTTCATTCATGTGTAATTAAGTTTCCCACATTTGAAAATAGACATTCAGATAGAACTGAATATTGATCAATTTGACAAGAATTGTCAAATATTTGCATGCAAGTTGTGAAAGAATTTGATATAGGGATAGTAATTGATTTTCAATCCAAACTCGATTCTTGAGCACAAAGTATGTACAATGATAATGTGATGCGATGACAACAACAATAATGATGATGACAATGATGATATAACTGGTCTTTGGTTTTGTTTTTCATTGCATGTTGATTTTTCTCTTTTCATTGGAATAGTTGAAGTTGTATTTTGATTAGTTGAAGTATTGTCATCAGATTGAGATGCCAATCAATATCAGTTACTTTTGGCATTATGTAGTAGTAGTAGTACATGTATCACTATTAGAGTTATTAAACTTTATATTGGCAATGGTTTTCTTGGTTATTAACATTTTTGTTAAATGATAGAATAGTTTGTCGTGTTGTAACATTTGCCATGTTTTCACAAGTGAAAAGCATAATTTTCCAACTAATGTACATTTATTTACACGATTTATGCATTATTAATCAATTTTTGTCTTTAAAATTGATTCTCAAATTTTCTTAAATTTTAATCTATTCTCAAATATTAATCGATTCTACAAAATTAATCGATTCCTATTCCACTTCGACCTCCTATGTCTTCTCTTCTTCCCAGATCCTCCCCACACTAACACTTCCATTGGTTCAGCCAAAACCCTCTCCATCTTTTCTCCAAGTTCCTCCGCCGATATCAGTTCGCCATTGAGCTCCATGATATGGTATATCTTATTTAGATGAATGAGATAGTTCGTGAGATCTTCCTCCAGATCAGCTCCCATGTACAACATGCCTTGCGACAATGGTCTAACATCCAAATGACAAAGCCGGAACGATCTGCAAACACAGGACGACAACCAGTGATATTGAATATTTTAGTAATTTTCTGGGTACCATACTCTGTTCAAAGAATCTTCCTCCGTAACTTTTTGAAACCCAAAGTGGTCATTCTTCAACAAATCAAGAAGTTGACGTGGCACCTGGCAGTTTTGACAAAGTGGCACCGCCTCTCTCTTTTGACGATTCGTTTTCCAAGACAGACTTGTTATTGTTGTACATGTTCTGGATCTGCGGGTAAGCGTCAAGACGGTTATCCATTCGGCAATCTGATTCAGATGCTGATGTAGAAAGTAATAAAAAAATAACACGATTATGATGGGATAGCCAACCAGTCCTGATCCTAATCCTAAAACCAACTTTCTAATGTTAATTAGAATTTTCCGAGATCAACAAAATTTCTTGAAGATGTCTTATCGTTATAGAGAAAAACTAATTTCCGTGATCCGGGCCGTCTTGATTAGAAGAGCCGAGTAAGTCAGATATCGGCGTCCACGAATCATGTAAATTCGTTATTTTTAGCTATTCAATTATTAACCGTTATTTAGCAGTTATTAGGCAGGTTAGCGCTATGTAAATTCGAATGTGAATTAATGAGTGCTTTATAACATAATTTATCCAAGATCTTTTACAAGCATTATTAATCCAGATGTCTAAAATTCGAACCCTTTGGTTACGAATGAACTGTGAATTTCTTGATTACTGGGCGTGTTACATGGACAATACCATTATTATTCTGATCGATATTATAACAAAATTACTTGTAAGGTAATACATCAAATGAAATATGCCAGAAAAGCTTCCCGAGACCGAAATCATACTATGGATAATTTTTGGGACAGCGAGCCGTATAGTTTTTGTTATCTCAGAAACGATTCAATCAAACCAAAAATACCCCAGCCTGCCGGTTTGCTGACCAATCGATTTTTTTGCACTAATATTATATATATCAATTCAAATCCCACCTATTATAGAACAGAAATCAACTCTTAGTCTTGCTTGTCTACGACAGATTGTTGTATCTCGAACCCAGGAAAAATTGAAACAAGTATTTTCTAGAGAACTACATTCTCTGCATAGCGTATATCGAGTAACAATTTTATGGGTAAGTCAAGGAATAATAGGCGTAAAACCAGCGGAAATTTACCGATAATCCAAAACAATACTTACAACTGCTCAATCGCGCGATAAATATAAGCATATGTATGATAGAGAATATAACGTCAAAAATAAATTTACTAGCAACACAGCAGGGGTTTTGATTATGCTGAACTTCGTAAATACATAGAAATAAATAATCAGTATATTTTGCAAGAGCACTGTAGGTCAATTTTTCATAAATCAAAGACTCTGGGTTTTGTCCATACATAATTATTTATAACTTGTAATGCATATGTAATTTTTTTACTATGCATCCTTATATACTTGAAATGCAATCAGAGATCGATTTAGACAACAGGTTGCTGAGCTTAGGACTGAGAATGCCGAGCTCATGGCTAAGGAATCAGGGATATTATGCCTAGAATTGTGGAGTTAGAACAATCCGCAAAAGAAAACGCTGAGCTTAAGGCTAGAGTCGCGAAATTGGAACAGAAGCAGTTACAAAATGATATTTCTTCCAATACTGGACATATCCAGATTTTACAAAGTAAAGATACCTGTTCATCCAACTCTTCGTCCATATCGTCAGAAGATAAGGAGGTAGATGAATTCGTGGATTCAAAAAATTTAGTAATGAGAAGCAGGGAGAAGAAGCTTCAAACTCAAGACTTATCTTTGGTTAATCCGTGTGAAGCATCCTGTCAGAGTGGCTCCAAAGAGGACGCTCAACGTAAAGTATTTCCAAACTATATAAATAAAACAACCTCCAGACGAGTTGTGCAAAAGACGTTGGATGGGAAGGTTGTTCAGATTTAGGATTCCATTGCTCTTGCAGGTTATTCACTTAATATTTCGAGAACCCTTATTTCGAGATGTTGTAGAAGAAAGGGAATAGCATTGGTAGATATTGTTGGATGTATTATGAAGACATGCACATAAGAAAAATCATAAAATTGCAGTAAAAAGAAAGATCCTAAGAAAATGAGTATATAATAAGGAAAAAAATATTAAAAATGAAAATGAAAATAATAATGAAAATAAAGATGAAAATGAAAAGTAAAATTAATATGAATATGATTGAATAAATATAATGAAATTCGAATTAAGAATGTCCTCGTTGGAGATAAAATATAAGATGTACCAATAGCAAAAAGATTAATTTGAGAGTGAAAAATACAAAAGAAAATAAAAGATGGGAATAAAGTGAAAATAAAAGTTAAAGTACGCAAGAATGTACATACGTACATGTAATTTGTTGATGATTATTTTAATTGCTAATTAAAAAGGAAGTGATATTCACGAAGTTTATACATGGGATAAAAGATCCAATTAATATGAATACCATTGGACAAAATTATAATACATGTACATGATACGTAATTTGTAATACGTACATGTAACATAAAAATTATGGAATTATGAAATTTTTTTTGAGAATGGTAACAGTAGCCAATCATATCAAGATCACAGATCAAAATTTTTTGCGTCGAAAAAAACCCAAAGGCAAAAAATTGCCATTAGCTCGAAATTTTATTTATAATAATTGGGCGCTGTGTTTGTGAGTATTGGTAATCGATATTAATTGTATTAAACAAGTGTTATTACAGAAATTGATACATATACCACTTTGGAAACAAAAGTTTTGGTCGTTCCACTGCTTTCCACTTAGATTTTCCTAGTGGTAATAAAATTTCCTCTAACGATACGGATCTGGAATCCTGCAGATCACCTAGAGGTTGTCTACATCAGAAACCATTACTGAACCTCTCCCTTTTTACCAGTGACCGATTATACAAATAATTCAACATTTGCAAATATATATGTATTCGTATGCTATGCTTTATGTGATGATTTAGCATATAATAAAAATAAGCCACGAATAAACTTATTATGCACCATTCTTACTCAGAAGAATTACTTATCATGTCATTATATAGATTCTAAAACCGTACTTCTAAAATCAAAATTGACGGATTAAAAATTTGTATTAATATTAGTTGGATTGGATTAAGAGATTACTGATTATAAGGGCGCCTCATTGAATTACTCTATTGAATATGCGAATTTGATATATCCCAACTAAATGTTGCTCACAAAATTTCTACATGTAGTACAATTTTAATAATTATGAAAAGTTTTTTTAACTAAAAATCTGTGATAAAAATAAAATTCGAATTTACTAAAAATACGAGTATATTTTTTCGAAATCAAAAGATTCAACTAGCTCCCCTGCTCGATCATGATTATTTTCATGCGCTTTTTGATACCATTTTAATGCCATGTCGAGGTCTACTGGAATACCGAATCCGTATTGGTAACATTCAGCCAATTTGAATTGAGCGATATTCAATCCAGATTCAGCAGATCTTAAATACCACTCAAACGCTTTTTTCTCATTTCTATTTGTTCCGTTTCCTTGAAATAGCATTATGCAAGAAAATACTGAGCATTGCGAGCATCAAAACTTTCTGACTCTGCTGATGTTTGGAAACACGAAAATGCTTTCTGTAAATCTCTATTGGTTCCCTCGCTGTGATAATAACATCTACCAAGATCGAATACTTCGGTAATTTTAACCTTTGATAATGCTAAAAATAATTCAAATGCTTTTTTTTCATCTCGTTGTGTTCCGATTCCATTTCGATAACAAAAACCAAGACCACCTTGCCCATAAGCATCACCACCCTCTGCTGATTTCAAATACTACTCAAATGCTTTTTTCTTATCTTTTTGCGTTCCGATTCCATTTTCATAATACCAACCAAGATTACGTTGTCCACCAGCATCACTACCCTCTGCTGATTTCAAATACCACTCAAATACTTTTTTATTATCTTTTTGTGTTCCGATTCCATTTCAATAACAAAAACCAAGATTACGTTGTCCACCAGTATTTCCACCCTCTGCTGATTTCAAATACCACTCAAATGCTTTTTTCTCATCTTTTTGTGTTCCGATTCCATTTTCATAACAAAAACCAAGCATGTATTGTCCTTGTGCGTTTCCACCCTCTGCTGATATCAAATACCACTCGAACGCCTTTTTCTCATCTTTTTGTGTTCCGATTCCATTTTGATAATAGAAACCAAGCTTATATTGTCCTTGTACGTTTCTACCTTTTGCTGATTTCAAATACCACTCAAATGCCTTTTTCTCATCTTTTTGAGTTCCTATACCATTTCGATAACAATTGCCAAGATTATATTGTCCTAAAGCATACCCACCCTCTGCTGATTTCAAATACCATTCGAATGCTTTTTTAACATCTCCTTTATCGTTTAAATAAAGACTACCAAGTTTACATTGTCCTGAAGCATTTCCACCTTTTGCTGATCTCAAATACCACTTGAATGCTTTTTTCTCATTTCTTTGTGTTCCTCTACCGTTTATATAACAATCGCCAAGGCAATATTGTCCTAAAACATCACCACTCTCTGCTGATTTCAAATACCACTCGAATGCTTTTTCCTCATTTTTTTGTATCCCGATTCCATTAAAATAACATATACCAAGATTACGTTGTCCTGTTGCGTCTCCACCCTCTGATGATTCCAAATACCACTCAAATGCTTTTTTCTGATTTTTTTGTGTTCCGATTCCTTTTTCATAACAAAAACCAAGCATGCATTGTCCTTGTGCGTTTCCACCCTCTGCTGATTTCAAATACCACTCGAACGCCTTTTTCTCATCTTTTTGTGTTCCAAATCCATTAAAATAACAAAAACCAAGCCTGTATTGTCCTTGTGCGTTTCCACCCTCTGCTGATTTCAAATAACACTCGAATGCTTTTTTCCCGTCTTTTTGTATTCCGATACCGTTTTTATAACACTTGCCAATATTGCACTGTGCTATTGCGTTTCCACCCTCTGTTGATCTCAAATACCACTCGAATGCTTTTTTCTCGTCTTTTTGTGTTCCAATTCCTTTTTCATAACAAAAACCAAGATGGCATTGTCCTAAAGTATATCCACCCTCTGCTGATTTCAAATACCACTCAAATGCTTTTTTCTCATCTTTTTGTGTTCCACTTCCACTTCGATAACACATACCAAGATTACATTGCCCATTAACACTTCCACCCTCTGCTGATTTCAAATACCACTCGAATGCTTTTTTTTCATCTTTTTGTGTTCCGATTCCATTTTCATAGGCATATCCTAGCAAGAATTGAGCTGAAGAGTTGCTATCAAATGATAACTCAACATAAATTTCAAATGCTAGCACAACATTCTTTTCAACTATGAATCCGGTTTGAAAAAGAAACCCTAAAAGTAGCTTATACTGAGCATTAATTTCTAAATAATCTCGAATTTCAAGAGGATTTTGTTCGTATAACGATTGTAATTCGGCACCTATTTTATCTAAATTTTCTTCTTTGCCGAGTAAGTTACTTAATAGAGTTACTAATTCGTCAACAATTTTGTAATCATTTGAAAGTTCAAACTCTAATTGAATTTGTTTCTCTGAAGTTTCATCTTCATCTTCGGAAAGCAAATTGATATCGAGGGTAATCGTATCTGAATAGTCATTATCAGCTAAATAGTCATTATCAGCTAAATCTTCATCCGTAATAAAATCGAGTTCTTTTGGTGATAAAACAGATGAAGCGATTGGCCATTCTATTTCTTTAAGTTGCTTGTTTACTTCGTGGATATCCGGACGATTCGTTAGTACATCATCCCAACATGCTTGATAAAGTTTAACGTATTTATCTGGAGTTCCGCATACTCTTTTTTCTTTTTCGGACGAAGAACAAAAAGCATACCCATATTGACTAGTGGGAGGACTACCACTGGAAATAACCCAAAATAACACTCCAATGCTGAAAATATCGGACTTTTCGTTTCGTCTAAAATTTGTCATATCTTTTAGAAATGCGGGATCAATATAACTTATCACCCCTAAATCGGTTTTCGAGTGAGATTGATCATTTGAAAGCTTTGAATAGCCTAAGTCTGAAATTTTGATTTTCCCTTTATGAACAAGTACATTGTTATGATTCTATTAATAAACAGTTCAATATTAGCCTTTATAAAATCAAATCTAAAACTATAATGAAAATCTACAAAATTTTCTTACCAAGTCTCGATGAATAATGCCTGCATCATGTATACACTTTACTCCTTTAACGAGTTGCTTAGCTAAATTCAATTTATCATTGCCACTCATTTTGTTGAAATTAACGTTTAAATATTCTTTAAGGGTTCCACCATCAGCATATTTTAAAACAAGCATATACTTTTGAGAAATTGGATCTAAAGGACATCTTTCATTAATGAAAGTATATTAAAAAAAGATAAATAAAAAAACTAATATCTCTTACCTTGAGTGATTCCGTAAAAGCGAATAATATTTTTATGATGATTAATTTGAATAAGGACTTTCAGCTATAAAATGAAGCATGATTCATTTATACTGGCAAAGTCTCGAATTTGGATACTTCAAAGTTGAAAATAAAATGATACCTCTTTAATAAACTGGTTGTTTATTTCCTCATTATATGTTTTATTTTTTATATAAAGGCATTTTAAAGCAACAGTTAAATCTTCATTTTTCAACTCAGCTTTATAGACTTCTCCGAACGCTCCATTTCCGATTACTTCTTTATCGGAAAATTTATTAAAATCAAAAAATTTTATTTGTTTTTTTGTTTTAGCGTCTTCCAGCCAGTCATTTGCAGATGATAATGACATTATTTTCACGCTGGCATTGTCGTGAAAAAACGCTTGTTAAATATTGTTCGATAGTCGGTTCTTTTACTTATTTAGAACGATTATGGATGTTTCAGTGACAAAGACAATGATTTTCTGTAATAAAACACCGCATATTGTCACAAAGACACTTGATATAACAATTCTTGATATAACGACTATTAAGTAAAAATAGTAAAATTTTCCCGTTATATCGAGAGTGCTTCTGTATCTAAATATGGAAATTCATAATTTATTTTTTTTCTGATTGATGTTCACGTAAGCATCTGAAACCTTAACAGGGGGACGTCTAAAGCCGTGTAGTGACTTAAGTCAATTCGGATAATCTTATAATTATCCGGATTGACTTAATACACATGACCTATATCTCTAACACATTCAATGATTGGCTGAATCATGCATAACACCATCACTATCTTTTTGGTTCGAAAAGAAGTGCCGAATACTCACTCACATCACCGTCATGAAATCAAATTGGAAACTGATCGCAACCTGAAGAAATTCGCAACACCAGCGAAACAGAAATGGCGGCCAAACTCTCCTAACAACTTATGCGACCGGTTTCCAGTTTGGTTTTGTACCGAGTATTTGGCATTTCTTTCATTGTTGGGTGTCTAGTTTCTTTATTTCGTTGTGCTGTCGCAAATTTCGACTGGTTTCCGGTTTGGTCTCGCACCGGGTCTGTATGGCATCGTTGAACGCCCATATCTCTGGAACATATGAGCATATCTTTGTTATCTATAGTCCTATAATTATGGTGAATATTTTTGCGTTTAGATCAACAAATCGGTGAAGATATTGGTATCCAAAGTCGGCGCATGAAAAATCGCAAAATGACAGACGGATCGTTATCTCGTCAATCTGTGTTCAGAATTTTGCGAACTAAGTTTCGTTTGATTCGTCTAATCAAGACGAACATTCTTTGTATTCGGATCACAAAAATTAGTTGGATATTGGGAGAAATATAAGCATTCAAAGTTGACTGATTTTTCTTGGCATTTTTCCGAGACTGTCGGTGTTGGTTAGGGTAAGGTTCCTGGGTGTCCAGTGGGTTCTTTGGTGAGTATTTGATGAAATGGAAGTCTGGGTGGAAGTGATCTTGAAAAATTAATTTTAACAATGTCAACATCAAATAAAATTTTTAATTGGTCAGTTTATTTGCTGTCAATCATAAACACTGTAAAATTGCTTGATTAAAATTATTATCGTCATTCAAAGAATGTTAAAACTGGTAGTATTTTTATCGGCTATTCGATTTTGGTCACATGTTTGCAATCCGGATCGGATTGAAAATCACGTGTAAATACACGGCTTTAACGGACCCCTATAGAAGGTTGTAGAAATCCACGCGCCGTTTCTAACTTAATCATTAATGGATTTTTTCAAGAAAACATCGAATTGGTCGCTAATAAACTACTTAGAATACAGGCGGAAACGAGAAGATTTTTCAGATGAAAAGGCAAAAGAGCATTTGGATTACAAAAAAGCATTAGAAGTATTGAGTAGTTGTATTGATTATGCAAAAAAGGCAAGACGATGTTTGGGCGTTCTTGAAGTTAAATTTATGCTCTTTTAACAATTGAGATTGGGCAATTTTCGTGTGTTCAAGGACTAGAATACGTTCCAGTCACCGAGACAATGATGTGACGTATTGACAACCCCCGAGTAGTCGGCTGATTACGTATTGGCTGGTGATAGTGGATTACGCATTTCCTCGGCGTCCTTGAACTAAGAGCTAGAATACGTTCCGGTCTTCACGACAATAACGTGGCGTATTGACAACTCTCGAGTAGCTGGCTGATTACGTATTGGCTGGTGATAGTGGATTACGCATTCCCTTGGGCGCTCTTACATGTTATTGCCAAAACGAAAAGAGTTTAGAAAAGGAATATTAATGTTTTTGTTTTCTAATAGAATGAAAGATCTTCCGAGCGTGTAAATAAATTCTGGATGACAGTCAACGAAGAACTAATTAATAGAAAAATAAAAAATGAAGAGGTTTGTAAGCTACATACATTAATATATGCAAAATACAAACTGATAAATTTCGGTTCTTTATTACGAATAGAGCGAATATGATTTAACTTTGACAATACACAACTCATGTCATGCTCGGACATAAGTTGTGAGTAGCGTAATATTTAGGGGGAAAATACTTGGATCGGAAGAGGTTCGGAGCCAATGATTGATCACATATGTGCTCGGTGATTTCGAATTTCTATTTTCAGTTATCGTTATACAAAGACCTGATTTATCGGAAAGTCCGGCAAATTAAATAATCGCTGTTGCACTCATTAACTAAAGACCCTTAGGTAGTTTGCGAACATTTTCGAGGATTAATATATAACTAAAATGGTCATCTTGATGGGGATGCAATTTCATTCAAAACCTCTCACTGAAAAACGAGAATTTTTTATTTTCGAGATTAAACCATCAAACCGATCATTTGATATCTAATGCGAATTTCAAATAATTAATAAATATCATATTAACGAAAACAAAATAAAATACAAGATTGAAAGGATAAAAATGGCTAATAAATAATATGGGTGTTATTTTGAGGGGTGTATGTACGTGTTTTGAGTTCGTAGAATTAATGGGTGTGATTGTGTGGGGAGAAAATATTGGGTATGGAAATATGAGAATGATTATATAATGGATTATATGTATAAATGGCTACTTTTTTTAAAAGTAGGTGGTTATGAATTTTCGTGTTTTAATATAAGTATGTATATAAATATAGCTACCAAAAACCCCCTTAACTTCCAAAATTCTTTTCATCATTTTTTCCCGTTACTAAAAAACAGCTACTACTACATGACAACATCACGTCTTCTTTTATTACAATCACGTCCTTCGTCTAGCAAAGGTTTTGTTTAATAGTTGCAGAATCTTGGACACATCCAATTGGACGTACTCCAGATCGAGTGAGACGACGTTATCTTGTTGCTATAATGTAATCCATACAATTAATGATTTTTTCAGAATAATAGCGATAAATGAAATAAATAAATAACTTTTTCACTAATAATTCCGAATTCCCAAAAATAATAATTACCTTTTCCAATAAATCATCCAATTTAAGATCCATTTCAAGAATCGCGGCCTCACGACCTTTAAAGTGTAAAGCAATTATAAAGGTACCGGGAATCGGTGAAGTGATATTGAAATAAATATTTTGCCGTCTAATTATTAACCGAAATTGTAGTGTTGTCAATTAGATAAATATCAATTATTTATTTAGTTATTGAATGAATAAAGATAAATAAAAAAACAATTTACCGATTCTCTGGTATGTTAGTCTCCACGATAATTCCTTCTTTCTCCAATTGAGCATGGGTAAACTTGTACGGACCCAAAACCTTAATTTTTGGCGGAGCAGGACCTATAACGACACTCGGTCCAGGACCATTATTCGTCTGAAGCCTCACATTCTGTAAATACGCTTTATAGCTCTCCAATTGACTTCTCAAATAATTATTATGATCACATATAGTTTTGAACACCGTTTCCAAGGACTTTATTTCCTCTTGAACTTTTTCGCGAAGATTTCCCAGATGAACTAACTCCTGAGCGACTTCTTCCGTCATGAGACGGTAGCCGTCGCTACGATCAATTATATGTGCTTCTTCCAGTTCTCGAAGCATTTCTTTGACCTTTATTCCCTTGCGAACTAGTGTCGCATCTTTTGTTGTGGCTGCCGTTTCAGCAATGTATTGCAGTTCGATAGGTCGTCGATCAGCCATTCGCGGAATTGATCGGATTAGTTGTACGAATATTGATTTGGTTTCCATGTATAATATGTCAAATTGTGTTACATTATTATCGGACATGAGTGCTGTGGCAATATCTATTTTAAGCAATAAAATATTAAGATATGTATTTATGATTTATTACATGAATGATAAAATAGATGAACATATCTTACCTTGTATTGGCATTTCCCAACGACTAAACAATGGCAATTCAATTGTCCTATTCTCTTTTCGTGGGACTTGAGGCGGCGCCGGGCCAACTTCATCCAATAACATTCGTAGATGACTTTTGTCTGATGGAGCCTTTTTATGAATCACGTAAAATTCATTAATATTATTGAATTTCAAGACTTCGATAAATAGATTTAATTTATAGAGAACAATGCCATACCAAAACATCTTGATGCTGAAGTAACAGCGTGTGTGTATTATAAATTTCATTTAGTGTTATATTCAGCACTAAATCTTTTTTTGACAGAGCCATGTATTGATCCATCTAACAATAGTAATAACAATTCAAAGTTAAACGCAGTTCATACCAAAGAATTAGTAATAAATCAATATTGTTACCAATTACGTACCTCTAAGCTCTCATAAAAATCTCCAACCTCGCATAACTCATTCAAAAACCTACTAATCCGTTGTATATTAGATTCTACAAACGGATTCAACATCATCATGTATTCTTCTTTGGCGTACGATGGTTTATTCGCCAGATTTTGGAGCATTTTTGCGATCTAAAGGAAAAAATATATAACGGGTGAGAATTCATCATCTGCATGTGCTATATTGGTAGTATATAAAAATATTCAAAAAAAAATTTGAGACAAGCAAATACCAAAGTTAATGTCCGTCTTGGATGTTTCCCGGGTATGCCATCAATCAGCATATAAGCTTGTGGTGTAACAATGGCAGGGTTAAGGAATCGTAAGAAAAAGAATCCACCAATTAGCGAACACATAGCGAATTCTGTAGCATCCGGATATCTTCTCTATAGAAAAAAAGAAATATTATTTCCAGCCTAATAAAATACATATACATAAACATATATATATATGAGTGATCCACACCTTCGTTAAAGATCGAATCTGTTTACAAATCCATCGTATTCCGTAAGGAACTTCTTCTCGTGATTCCATTATTGTTGTAAGAAACGAGTTTGCAATCTCCATCAACATCTTTAACCGAGGAGCGATAATTTCTTGTACATCTGCATTTGCAGCTGCAACATCAGGCGTAACACCTCTTGGAAGATGAGGTGGTAGACTTCCTGTGTCTTCTTCGATTTGTTTGATCATTTGTTCATAAACCTTTGTTTTTATACACATTTTTGTTAATGAAAAATTTTAAAATGTACAAAACAAAAAAAAAATAGCTAAAAAAAACCTTTAATGGATTGATTTCCAAATTTAGATCTTTATGTTCTATTAAGTTATTTATACGTTCTGATAAGACTGTTTTTAAATAGCTTTGCCCTGGCCCACGTCTGGTATATGTGGTCATCATACGAGAGACTGGTGTATTAGCTCGAAGTAATGAACCAAAATCCAGTGTTGTCTCGAATTGTGCTGATAATACAGACTTTTGTCGATTCATAGTGATCAAGATTAATAAAATGATCAAATTAATTTGTTACACAAATAAATCAATACAATAAAATTCACCTACTTGAAACATCGTCAACAGTAAATGTTCCTCTCGGCTTTCATATTGATTACCGTATAAAGTGAACATGACCGTTTGCAACAACGTATCAATTTCCGCCAGACTAACTAATCGACATAGATTCGCTATATAACGTGGTTCAGTTTGAAGAAGAAAGAATAGATTTCCATATTGTTGCATTTTTCGATCATCCGGAAAACTACCCTCCTGTGGATCAATTTCCTCAACAAGATGACTTTCTACTTCTTGTCTCTTTATTTTTTTTATTAAGATTTAAGAGAAAAATAATCAGATATACGTAAAAAAAATTAATAGTATTTATCAATTATGATAAATACCTCATCTAAAGCAATTCGATTTGCAATCAATAAAGCAATTCTAGAATCAAGATATCGAACATCTCGCTCTAATACAAAATTTTTTTTGGATTGTGCTGATATTCGACTCTTAAGTTCTCTTAACCGTTTTTGCGCTAATAAAAATTAAGATAAATAGAAAAAAATTACTTTTTGATATAAATTAAGCCACGACAATAGCATTTCACTATAACCAAAATGGTTATTATCATATAATACCCATATAACTTAATAGTATAACATAAATAAATGACTACACGCATATTCCCTCATTAAATTGACATATTTGTCATATGCACTCTGACCGAATAAACAGACGCAATAGCCCAGCCACCTCTCCTTTTTCAGCACGTTATGTTATTATTTTTTTCTTGGTGGTTTCTTTTTGATCAACTTGCAACAAAAAAAAACGAAATCCAAAAATCTAATTTTATACATTAATTTGAAAATATATTATACCTTTTGCCAACTCATCTTCTACCTCGACGTCTTGTTCCGCAGCCATCGAGTATAAAGCGGTAACGGAATACCGTTTACTTGTCCGGCTACTGTCCGTTGCAGCAGTTAGACGACGCCCATTTGCGGGTCGCATTGTAGGAATGATGGGGATTCCATAACTAGCTAGCACACTATCACGCTCCATTCCTCGTGCGTGTGCTTGTATTTCTCTTTTTAGCAATTATTATTGTTGTTGCTTTATGTGTGTTCTTTATAGGGTGGTGTGAGTATGTGTGAAGCTTACGTATAGTTTCAGTATTAGTAATGTAATATATATATTATAAATAACTATAATTGTTGTTGTTAGATTTGAAATGATTCGTGTGCTTGTTAATGGAACGAGATTCTGAGTTTGGGTGTTTGCTAGGAAAGGAATGAGGGAAATTTGATATATATAACTATGTAAGTGGGGTAGGTGAGTGAATAAGAATGAATGTGCGAGTTAGTATTCAACGGTCGATGTATATTAAAAAAGTTCAGGTAGCACACTAAAACGAGGTGTTATTATTTTAAAAACATATACACAGTTGAGAGTGTAACCCACACGCAGGTGGTGGTGTTGCAATTCGATGGATTCGCCGAATTCCTAGCGATTGAGAAAAGAATTTAGTAGTACATTTGTTCGGGTTTATACGACGGCAAAGAAATTGTGCTCCCGCGGATTACTTTTTTTTTGGAGTCGTACTACCTTCTTAATCCGACAGCAACAACAATAGCGATAACGATAACGACAACAAAAGTACGCATACATCGATAGACATCACATTTTTTGAGTGTACATTTGTAATCTATATTTATTTTTAATTTTAATTGGAGAATCAGGATGCTTTAGATATTCCATAAGTTTATAATAAATGAATGCATTGAAGACATTCGTGTGGTGATGCATAAAACCGTTATTCGGGTGTATGTGCTCAATCTGCATCAAACTGTCGCCATTCATATAACTACCGAGGAATGGAAATACGACAAAAAATATTCGACAGCAATTCGTTTATTGGTTTGGTTGGTAGACAATTACGCAAAAAAATAAAACCAATTCTTTGGCTAGGACCATTCATTCATTATCTTGGAGAATGCATATTAGATGTTTTCGAGGATTATCTTCAAGTGAAATCAACCAACCACTTATTCAATTAAATAAAGCAACAGAAGCATGGCTCGAACAGGACGATTCTCCATTCGTGCTATAATGAAGTTTATTATGTGAACCCATTTTATTTTATCCATTCAATCATTTTATTATCAGCATAATGATTAAATTATGGAGCTTGGTTTCAGAAAATTCGTTCTTAGGGTCGTCACCAAAATTTAAAACCTGTCAATTGTTTATTATTACCATCGATTATCCGGAAATCGGGAATCGATTGCCATTTTCGTTTAAACGCGATATCTCGCGATCCTATTCGGGCATTCTTAGAGGAGTGACAAATATTCTAGGATAGGCGAATCTCAGGTATTAATATAATCTCACGTGCATGTGTTAAATGAAATCTCAGGAGGGGTCCCTATGATGAAATGGATATTTGTCACCTCCTTATCATCGTTTGATTCGTCTCGAATCTGATCACTGGATGTCAATAGTGATCGATTTGTTTTTTTTTAAAAAAAAACTCGATTAGAAGAGGGACTCTTCTTGATATTTCATTTAACATGCACGTGAAATTGAAATCATCACAAAAAGTAAAAATCTATAATAAAACATATAAAAAATTCAAATTTTCATGTTTTAAAAGTCTATTTAAACAAAAAATTTTTTGATCGTGAAATAATAGTAATTTTTTATAAAAAAACACAAATTTCTAAATTATTATTCTAAAATTTATTAATTATATTTTTATTGGTTGGTTTTATATATAATAAAAAAATTTTTTTAAAAAATTTTCTTGATTGTAAGTTGCAAATTTTATATATTGTTATTGTTTTATATTGTTTTATATTTTTATATATAAATATGACATAATTGTACATTCAGAATCTTCAATCACATTAAAATATTTAAATAAATACAGTCAAATCTCTTTATAGTCACACCCATTTATTTGTATTTCCTCTTCCACTTAAAGCTATATCTTATAAACTCTTCAACTTAATCTAATATCATGTGATATATATATATTCTTTTATAACAAAGTTTAAAACTATATAAAGTAATAACAATATTTATACATATTTTTAAAGCTAAATTTTAATAGTTAATTTTGATTAATTTAGTCTAAAATAATTTAATATAAATTAATTTGACTAAAAGATGATAAATTATATTCAAAAAAATCAAATTATATTAAATTTAGTAAATTATAGACATTATATAAATTATATAAATTATGCAAATCATGTAGGTTATAAATTATGCAAATTATAAAAATTTATAATAATAAATAATTAATATAACTATTCAATTCATTATAGTCATCCAATTAATTTTGAAAAAATTAGATTATTAATAATATTTTAAAATATATTAAAATAAATCATTTATTTAATTTAAATTTATAAATTTATATTTTATTTAAAAAAAAGTTTTTAAACAAAATGAAATTTTAAATGATTTATAATATGATTATCCTATTATAAATTATTTTAATTTTGCTACATATATAATTTTAATTATCCAATTAATTAATTTTCTTTTCATAATTGTTATGATACATTAATATTAAATACAAAGTCACTCTTGAAGAAATTACTTTAGATTATATTTGTCAAATTTAATTTTATAACTTATAATTATATATTTGTTCAAGATTTTGTAAAATATATGTAGAATCAAATTTAAGCTTTATTAACATAATTTTAATTTAGTTTGCTTTTTAGCAAATAAAAAAAATATTTCAAAATCTTTTTTTGTTGCTAAAAATTCATTTTGTAATAAAAAATTAACTAACTTGAAATTCAAATTATTAGAAATTTTACTCTTCAAAGTTTTTTTTTATTTTAAAAATATTCTTGAGATGACTTATTAACTTGTTACTATCAATATTCACAGTGAAAGTTAATGTATTTTCTTAATAAGACAAGCTAGAATAATTCAGTATTATCTAAATTTAGCATTATTCACTTTGATAGATTAGATTAATTGGCTAAATAAGTGTTAATTAATGAAAATATTTTTTAATTTTTTCAACTCAATACCAAGTTCTCTATTGATAAGCTACTTCCAATTCTTAGAAGATATAATTACATTTCTATTAATTTGTTAAAGAATATCACTTTTGTCAACATGGAATATTTGCTTCTAAAATATATTGCTATAATACTCACTTATTGTATTAGATTCTTGAATGTATATACAAAATAACTATTTAATGATGTCATAATTAGATTTCTGATAGATGTTATCATAACATGAATATTCAACCAATATTTGATAATGATAATTTTACAATTACTCAATCTTAATATAATTGGTATACTTCGAGATTATTATACGGTATGTTTTCTTTTATTTGTTGGATAAGCTCTCACTATTACTAATATAATTAAATCTCTCTATAGTCATACCCGTTTATAGTCATACTCCTCTATAGTCATCCTATTTTGCTTTTCCATTTACATATAAACATAATAAAAAAATTCCTTTACAGTCACCAAATTTTGCTTTTCTGAAGATGATGACTATAGAAAGTTTTAACTGTAGATATTATGTTTACTTAGTGTGGGACAGTTCTATAATAATATAGTACTGATATTCTATAGCAACTTTGATAATTGTCCAATAGTGTGCAATAAATATAAGTATTTTAATAAGTTATTATTCAATCAATTAATGTACAAATTTTATTAACAATAAACAAGAAATAGTTTATTGATTAGCTAGATTTTGTATTAATTAATTAATGTCTTTTTCAAAACTTCAATTGCATTTTATTTATAATAAATATTTTTCACTAATTAATATTACATTTAAATAAATAAAGATAATGTTGGATAATTCTATAATATGAATAATTTCTGTAATTTCTATAATTTCTATAATTTCTATAATTACTGTAATTCTTGTAATTTTTGCAATTTGGTTCATGTTTTTCTATATGTATATAATTTAAGAAATTAAAAATTATAAAATTATTAAGAATTCTGAATTATAACAATAATGAATCTTTAGACTTAATGATGATATCCAAGTGTTTTTTCATCTAAATAATAGTCAGTCTCTTTCTTTAGTAGTATTTGATATCTTTTATATAGATCTTGAATGAAAGACTACAAATAAAAATTAATTGTTAACAGAATACATTAATATTTCACAGATATAATAGAAAAATAATTACTTGCAATAATAGTATTTTTGTAACAATCTTTATCAGTTTAGAAAATGATATTATTTCTTTCAGTATTTCAAAGTTCATAATTGAAAAAACTATTGGTTGTCAAATAAACTTCAACACTTACTTCTATAATATAATAGATTAAAGCCATTAGCAAATGTCTGCAATTAATAAGCAAAAATCAACTTATTACTGAATTGTACACAGAGAACAGACATTGATGATATCTCGTGCAAAATTTTTTCTGGCAATGTAAATACTATCAATTTATAAATAAAAACAATAGCATTATATAACTTTGATAAATTTTTATCTGACTTTAAGAGTATGAAAGTTATTGCTATCTCTATATAAATGAACTTGAATTGTTTGTTAAAGGATAAAATTCCATCATATTTCTTCTTTTTTCATGATTTCTTGTCAAAAAGTTTCTGTGCAAAGCTTTTTACTTTATCTCTATTATACAAAAAAATAAATATATTAATAAGTTGAGGATCTAAAATACTAGCTTAAACACATTCTCAACAGATACTGTTAAAAAATATATTCATTCATCGATTCAAGACAATCATCGAAAATTGGAGTCACAATGTGATTGTTATACTAATCTTTCTATTAGTATTTCTATGAATTGAACTAAACTAGACTTTTGTCTGGGTTCGAGTTCTGGCTTGAGTTCAAGAAAGATTCGAAGTTTGAATTAAACTTGAATTATTATACGAGTTTGAGTATGGTTTGAGTTCGATTAAAGATTAACATATAGTATTATATACTGATTTGTAGCTCTAAATATAAGCTATAACTTTACTTATAAGCACAATTTATGGTATTTAGTAAGAATTAAAAGTTTACATAGTAATAACTAAAGTATTTT